CCCGATGGCAAACACCGGGGGGGGCGGCTTGTTTTACAACGTCGTTGCCATGCGACGAAAACCCAACCCCGATGGCAAACACCGGGGGGGAGGAGTGCTTGGGGGGGAGGGGGGATAATGTTCCCGAGGTCGAGAGTGAACATCCATCATTTCCCCGCCACTACTGTTTCGACTTCAACTCCCGGTAAAACCAACGGTGGATCATCAGGCAAGCCCACGACCTTCAGTCTCGTCAGAGAAACTGGCCACCCTTCTCCAGACCTGGGCGGCCGAAACCGTTGGCCGAAGGTTAGCCGTTGAAGCGACGAAGGCCATCGCACCTTGTCAATCGACTGATCGAATTCGCCACCAAATATGACTTCTTGCAGCGCCGTAGGCCAGACCACCCGCTTTATCGATTGGTTGAAGTCATCACCAAAGGTCAGCTGCTTGAGTGATCCTGGCCAAGCAACTCTGGCGATGGGATGATTGAATGACTTGCCAAACGACAGAATCCTCACGGATGCGGGCCACGCTACTTCGTGGATGGGCCGGTTGAAGCACCCACCCATGGAAAGCTCCTGAAGACCAACCGGCCACACCACCCGAGCAACAGGCTGGTTGAATTTGCGGCCGAGGTCGAGTCTTCGCAAGGATGCTGGCCAATCAACCTTTTCGATTTGGCAGTCGAACGAATTCCCAAAGACGAGAACTTCCAGCGCGGCTGGCCACTGGACGCTTTGAACAGGCCGGTTGAAGTCGTGTCCCAGCGTGAGCTGCTGTAGCGATGTAGGCCAGGAAACCCCCGATAGCGGCTGATTGAACGCCTCCTCGAACGTTAGCTGTTGTAGTGATGATGGCCACGATATTTGGTTGATAGGCTGGTTGAATCCATTCCTGGTGGGTGGTGCATTCCGATAGTGAGCGACCGCCTGCCTGACCGCATGCCAGTCCGCATCACGGTGCTTGCGGAAGGTCACTTTACGAAGTCCCACTGGCCACACTACCGTGCTAAGAGGCTGATCGAAGCAAAAACCAAACTCGATTTCTTGGAGTCCCTCCGGGCACACCATTTTGTCGAGTGGCATGTTGAAGACGTATCCGAATGTGAGTCGTTGGAGAGACCGGGGCCACGTAATCTCGCGAACTGTTCGGTTGAAGCAGCCACCGAAGTTGAGTTGCTGTAAGGAATCTGGCAGCACCGATCCATCGATAGGTTGGTTGAAGTGTAAGCCAAACGTGAGCTGTTGTAGCATAGCTGGCCACGCCATTGACCTGACTGATCCATTGAAGTGGTCGCCGAAGATAATCTGTTTCACCGACGCTGGCCACATGACCTGATCGATCCGCTGGTTGAATAACCTTCCAAAGGATATACGCCGTAGCGATACGGGCCACACAACCTTGTCAATTGGACTGTTGAAGGAATGGCCAAACGTTATTTGCTGCAATGAATCCGGCCACACTGATCCGTCGATTGGTTGGTTAAAGCCCCAGCCGAACGTGAGCTCTTGAAGGGAAGCGGGCCACACAACCTTTTTCATGGACTGTGTAGGATCCTCCCATCGCCACCAGGATATGCGCAACCTCGTCCCAAACTTCCCCCCAAACGTCAGTTGCTCAAGCGATACCGGCCACTTGACCTTGTCAATACGCTGGTTGAACTCACGGCCGAACGTTATCCGCCGCAGTGCCGCCGGCCACGGTACGTTGTCGATCGGCAGGTTGAAGTCTCGCCCGAAGACGATCTCTTCAAGCAAGGCTGGCCACGAAAAGTTCTCCAGCGTCAAGTTGAAACGCGCCGCGAACTCCAACTTCTTCAACCCGCGAGGCCACACGACGGAGCTGCTGCGGAACTTGAAGCTGCCCAGGGAGAGTTCCTCGAGGCCGGCAAACGCAGGTCCTGTGCGTTTCAACGCCAAAGTTGGCAGTAGCCAGGTCGCCTTGACGACTCGGAATGGGGGCACGTTCGCGGCCGAGCTTACCGTTTCATGAGCGCGGTCACTTGGGGGGGCGTTTTCAATAGCATAGCCAGCGGCCCACAGACGCTCCGGCGTGTCGCTGGACACGCGGAGAGCCAGTCTTGAGAGGCTGCGACACTCCACACAGGATTGAAACGACACCAGCCGCAGCTCAGACGTTGAGGCAAGCCAACCCGCCCCCCCACTGTGGTTCTGGTTGAGGACGACCGTGAAAGCGTCCAGCCATCGGCCGTGACCTGGGTCGAGTGAGTACAAAGGAGTTGATGACGAGGACACAGAGGGGGAAGGGCTGGGGTTTACATGGATATACGGCTTCTTGGGGTTAAGCACAGCCGGAGGAACGTCAACACAAGGCTCTGATTCCAACGTCGTTCTGAGGCAACCATCCTTCGTGTGCGCAGAAGTTCCTTGCAGGGGCCATTGTTCCAAAATGAGTCCTAAAAGGTGGACACGCTCGGTGCGAGATCGTGGTAGAGTGGAAATACGGCGCAGCTCATCTCGTCGTCAGGTTCCCAAACCATTTCAGCCTCTTTCACTTTCGCCATATTGTGTGTGCAGTCCAGCAAGTTAGAAATGCCGTTGGCTACGGTAGAGTCCATCCTACAGCAGACCCCGATCGACGCGGTTGCCGCCGCTTGTGGTGAAACTACTGAAGGTCGAGTCCAGTGAAAAGCGTAGTCGGAAAACTTAGCCCATCGCTCAGGGTCGGAATCTGAATTGAACAGAAATCGGTTTCGCAACATCCCTTTGTGACCTTAAACATTCCAGATGTATTCTGGATTACTGCACCCCTCGAACCTGCGGTAGATGTCTTTTGTGCGATTTTCTAGGGCTATCCGGCAAACGATGCTAAAATCCAGGGAGAAGACCTAAATCTACTGCGGAACTCCTATGTGAGGACAGTCAACGATGGTTGGAAGCGCTGACACGGGTTCCGCCGCTCGGCGCCCC